TTAAAGCTAATTTCTGCAATAAATTAGGCATGCTAACATTGAACTTAATGGTTCCTACCAAAACCCCATCGTAAATATACTGCTCAAAAAAGTAAAGGGAACACAAAAGTAATACATCCTTGATCTGATTGAATGAAATATTCTCATTGAATATTTTGTTCTGTACCAAGATTAATTTGTTGACAACAAAATCCCACAAAAATCATCGATGGAAATCAAATGTATTAACCAGTGGAGGCCTGGATTCAGAGTCATGAACAACATTTAAGTGGAAAAACAAACTACAGGCTGATCCATCTTTGATTTAATGTCCTTAAGGGCCAACCACACCAGCATATGCTCTAAAAATGTGTCTGATGATCTCATCTTGGTTCCTAATGGCAGCCATGCTACCTCTGGCGAGCACATGGAGGTCTGTGCAGCCCTCCAAAGAAGTACCACTGAACACCATTACTGATCCACTGCCAAACAGGTCGTGCTGAAGGATGTTGCAGGCAGCAGATCTCTTTCCACTGTGTCTTCAGACTCTGTCACATCAATCACTGTGCTCATGGTGAACCTGCTTTCTTCTGTGAATAGCACAGGGTGCGTGTCTAATTTGCCAGTCCTGGTGTTCTCTGGCAAATGCCAAGCATCCTGCATGCTGTTGGGCAGTGAGCACAACCCCTTTCTGTGGACGTCCAGCCCTCATACTATCCTCATGGAGTTAGTTTTTAAACCGTTTTTGCCGACATATGCACATTTGTCGCCTGGTGGAGATCATTTTGCATGGCTCTGGCAGTGTTCGTCCTTGCGCAAAGGCAGAGGTTCTGTCAAAAGTTTGATTTCATTAAAGTTATATTTGGTCGTCTACGTTGTCTGTTTATTTATTTATTTTTTTAGCCCATAGAGTTTAAGTAATTTCAACACTGATAAGTTTAGTTCGATATCTATCAAGAATTATACAAGATGTTTTTTGATTTTTTACAAAAACTATCTAGATTATCTGCAACATTCCAAATTATATAAATTCTAAATATTTTGGCTGTATGTCTATCGAAATGTCAAGTGAAAATCCCAATGAATTTAGATTTGTGAGCTCTATTCTCATATTAGATTTTTGTTGAAGTTTGTTGTGTGTGGAATGTTTCGCAAAGAAGCCGAAGCTCCTTATGATTTACTGTGTACCAGAGTACACATGTTTAAAAGAAAACACACAATTAAGAAGAATTCAGACCAAGTTACGGAAAAGTAAAACAATTAAAGAGAAGAAGGGCCAAAAGTACTGCAGATATTTACTCCTACATATGAAGAAAATTTTTATATAATATTTTAGGATTTGAATTCACTCAATAATTGTCTATCAACAGTATACAAAGTGTAATCATTAGAGAAGGATGCGGTTAAAATAGCTTTAAAATCTGAACACTGTGCTATTCAAATTGGATTTCTGATCTCATAAAAGTAGTTAATAAGCTTACTGTATGTAAAAAAAAAAAAAAAAAAAAAAAAAGAAAGAACATTTTGGACCAAAATTATTAGGACTACCTTTCTAGAATACATAAAAAAAAAATCTTTGACCCAAATAAATTAAAACTGATCACAGATGGATACTTTCTAGAAATCTTTCATGACGGGTCAGATATGTTTTACCTGTCAAATGTGCCTTTCTTATGATGAGAGCTAACTATCACCTCAAATCTTATATAATGTAAACTTTTAAGAATAATTCTTTACTCAAAATCCCAGTAAATTTAATCAGTGTCTGACTATTATGACTCATTTTATCTTATTGCATTACAGTATACATTTTAGGACATCCTCAGGTCTCAGGAAAAACAGCTATGAGTTCTTAGGAGTAAAAAAAGTTGAAAAAACTGGGATTAAAATTTGTTCTGTTGTTGTTTCTAATAACAGAAATACATTTGAGGATTTTAGGCAAAAATTGTAGCTTTGGTCACTTAAATATCTCAGAATCAGAATCAGAAATACTTTAATAATCCCAGAGGGAAATTACTTTTGTTAGACGCTCTAGTTACAGTTTTACATGATATATACACACATCCAAACATCTACCCAGTTGGTCAAGATATTGAATAAAGCCATTTTGTTTAGACCTCATAATTTAATTCTTCGGATTTGAGAATATGCTAAAATGTATTACTAAGTGTTCAATCTTTTTTTAAATTGATCAACAGTAAGATCTCTAAATAAAATTGCATTCTTACAGTTGAATACTGTAGGAATAGTTGTACAAAGTTTATTGTATACAACGATCCTTATACTGTGTCAAACAGTGTCTTTAAAGATGAAAGGGTTTGTTGAACTCATTGATGGCTTTGAGCAGGTTCATCTAGCTTTATGACATATTTGCAAGGCATGCTCTCATATGTTTTCATTTTAAAGAAGATCTCAATGAAATCTGTGTCTGTGTTACATTATATTTATCCATAGGGAAAGATAAAAAAAAAAAACATTATTTGGCACCCTTCACCTCCACTACAGTTTTCTCCGTTATCTAAACCATGGCCCCTTTTTTGTTTTAGATGTACAGAAAATAGTGAAGTATAAATGAAGATATCTTTCACTACCATTTATTTTGTAACTTTAAGAATTGCTACTATTTATACCAATGCTATAATCCTTTTTGATTTTAATGTACAAATAGCATTATTACAGTTAAAATCTCCAAACACAAAATATATCTTTCAATTTGTTTTTAGTACCTTTATGCAACTTTTATTCCCTTTCAATGCTAATGGGGACCGTAGAATAAAGATAACGCTCAACCTAAAATCTTACAAAATTAAGAAACCTAAGAAATAAGTAGGACAAGCTATTTAAAGGGGTCTGAAACATGCTTTCCTAAATAATAATATTATGTTTTTTGTAAACCTATGTTTAGTTTACAAAAACCTGAGTATACATTTTGTTTTTAAAGGATCACATCTAACAGTCAGTTCAATTTTAATGTGAAGTAACTACTTCTGCTTGTCTTATCCTTTTCATTTTTGAAATGTTAATTTTCAAAGCAATTTAATATTTTGCATTTTTTAACTTAAAATTTTTGCTAAGCTCTGAAATTATGATACAGTCATTATGTTTATAAATGTACAGTTCTATCACACTAAACCTGTATTTGTGTCCCAGCAGCATATTCCCCACATCAGGACAACCATGTAAGTCCTTACATGAGTGGGAGCCAGTCTGTAAGTCCAGCCCCACTGACCACACCAAGATACTCACCTCTGCCCAGGAGCCTGACGGCAGACGAAGATGTTCCCAGGTGAGAGAGAGCATATATTCAGAATCACATCAATTCAGGTTTTCCTTTCTATCTTTTTGTTTGTGGTTTGTGTATTGTTCTTCTCAGAGACCAATGTTGACTCAATGCCTTTTTTTTAATCAAGGTATTATTTTTGATTTAAACTGAGTGACTTCTTTGGTCCTTTTGCCACTCTGCAGCTGCTTGTGTATGTTGTTCTCACTGAAAGGCAGATGGATCAGTGAATTTTTGTCTAGCGTGTAAACTCGGGTCACATATGTGCTAATGCACATCCAGTCTCTTACCCACAAACACATTCAGATATCCTCCCAGCACTGCTTCGCTGTCTTTAATCCATTTTAATGGAGGGATTAAAGCCCATTGCAGCCCCCGTCACTCGCCTGGCATCACCGTGGTTACCAGAAAAGGACTCATTTCGTCACAAACCTTTAGGCCAATGAGTGAGCTTTGACAATAATAAATCTGATAAGACCCAGGCTGGACGCAGGATGGTCATTTTGACGTCTGGCCTTCTTTTTTCTCCAGATACTATGTTTTTCCAGTATTGACTGATATTAGAAAAATAAGGCCTCTCTTTATTTGCTTTTTTTCATCAAATCTTTTTTTCACCTGCATACCTAGTATTTATTTTGATATAATATTTTCTAGAATAAAGAATTCTAACTACTCTATCATTTGATGTCCACTAAAACCCCTAAAATACTTTCACTTTCCATATTAGATATTTGCCTTTATCTTTGCAAAGATGCTATGGTTGAAATCCAAGTTAAAGGTTGGACTGATACTGGGGAAGTGGAGCACCTGACTCAGGTAGACATGAATAAGTTCAATCAGCGAAATAAAAAGGGTTAAGAAACAAATGGTACAAGATATTTACCAAAAATATTCTTTAACATCTGGTATAATATCAACTATATTAATTCAATTACAGTATATTTACTTTCTGTATTTTTTTTATTATTTAATGTGTCATTTACACTGATTGCTTAAAGAATAATCATAAAAACATAAACAATGGAAGACTAGACTAAAAGTGTGTGTTGAGTGCAATGGTTATCTGTTGGAGTTCACTCAAATGTTGTTGCTACAAAAATGAGGAAGTGTTACCCTGACATCTACTGGTGAATATAATGAATAACGTCAAAAAGAAATACTTCCTCCACCTAAAAGAAAAATATATCACCTTGACATATTTTTAGTCCTCTGGAATGCTGCTACTGCTTAGTAATGTAGAAGAATTCCAGTGGGGGTTTTTCAATGACCCTTTGAAATATATCATCTAGCATCTCTTACATCTTCGCTGCATGATTTGTGTTGCTTACAGGGAACCCAGGCGAGTTGTTCTACAAAGGGGTTCCACGGGTCTTGGCTTTAACATTGTTGGAGGGGAAGATGGAGAGGGGATCTTCATCTCTTTCATACTGGCTGGAGGTCCAGCTGATCTCTGTGGAGAGCTAAGAAAAGGAGACCGCATCCTGTCGGTACGAGCTAAGAGCTCTCTGTGGATTCTTATTGCCACAATTATAATTATTAATTGTACAATTTTACTTTTATTATAGTTGAGTTCACATGCAGCATCTCTAAAGGGAGTTGTTTTGACAATTTATCCTTCTTAATACCTCTTTTATATTGTTATACTGCATGTTTATAGTAATAATTTGTCATAAAACTTCTTAAAATGTCTAGTTAATATGACCATTTTAAACTTACAGGATTTCTTATTGAATTTACTCTCAATATCTACAGAAATCTGAAAATTTCAGTTAATGATTTTAGTTATGTGCTGCTTGTTACAGTTACCCAGCAGCTTGTTTGGCTGACAATGGTTGTGTGTGTTGTGAGAGGCTGCCTTGCTTGTTTGTTGAAGCCATATTTCATGATGTGTGGGTGTTAAAGCTGCATGTTGTGCTAGACTCAAATGAAAAATGGTTTTAATTTCCTTAAGAAGGGATTCAAGATGAGTATAATCCCCAGACTGCAGAGGTGCTTAATATCCCTGCAGAATTATGGTATTATTTATTCAAGCAAGTGCAGTCAAGAGAATGATTTTGATGCATTAAACAGGGCTTAACAAAAAACATGCATGTTATATTAGTAAGAGCTGCAGACCCACTAGGATGCACTTTGAAGATTAGGATCTGTTAGGATGAGGGCTAAAACTATATGTATTTGTATGTGCAGGTGAACGGCGTGGACCTTTCCATTGCAACACATGAGCAGGCAGCTGCAGCTCTAAAGAATGCTGGACAAACGGTCACTATCGTAGCTCAGTATAGACCTGATGGTAAGTAGAAAAAACTGGGCTTTTGGGTTAGTTTTTGACAAAGGAGAGTCAAACACCTCATAGTAATGTCATAGTTGTGTCTCCTCTTGTTTTTTCCCTCAGTTTATCTTGAAGTATAAACTTGACAAGTTGCATTTTATTGTGAAAATTCCTTAGCAAAACATTTAGTTGAAAATGAGGTATGTATTACATAGTAAAAGTAAAGAAAATAGTTGATCATTTTACTTTCCATTAAACACAAATTAAGGTGTGAAAATTATGTAAGATCTAATTTTTGAAATTTAAAGGGGTCATAGAATGCAAAACCGAGTTTACAGTGTCATAGATGAATAGCGATAGTTCGGTGGGTGAAATGGACGTACATAGAAGTTCAAACCCCATCGACACCTCCTTCTGTGCAAATCTCACAATTCTAAACTTCCACCATAAAACGGGTGAATCCAAAAGAACCACCGAATTGACGTAAATTCAGGGATGTTGCCTTATTTGTTTCTGGCCTGTACTTTTGTCACGCCCTGAAATTGACATACAGACCGGCCCACTGGTTCACTGGCCAAAGAACATGAATACAGGTAGATGTAAGACACCACATTAGCTGTTTAGCCTACAGTTGGGTTTACTTCTACAAGAATTACAAAGCAGGCAGTTTCTCTATTAAAATTGAGCCAGAACCATGGGGGTAAATGCAGTGTTCCAGGCTGCACGGAGAAAGGGGAACATTTTTTTTTACAGTCTTCCCACTTATCAAAAGACTCGACAGGCATGGATTATGCCTGTTTGATGCTCAGCTTTTCATTTGCTCTAAGCATTTTACCAAAGACAGCTTTCAAAATCTTGGACAGTTCAAAGCAGGATTTGCTAAATTTCTTTACTGAAAAGAGGGGCTGTTCTGACCGTAAGTCCATCACAACCGGAAGCTCTAAGTAATATTTTGTCGATAAGCTGTTGATAGCAGTGCTAGCATATCTAGGGTGACCAGATTTGGGTTTCTGAAAAGAAGGACACTTTTTTGGGGGTCCTTTTTTCACTGGACCGGACCAGGCATTCAAACTTCTCCGGGGCTGGTCCTGGGACAGAGCCAGCTGGGGTCGGAGCGACCGAACTCGACCTGGTGATGGTAGCCGCGGCCCCATGCTTCCCCCGCCTGCCTTACTGGCTCGGTTCTTCTGCACTGTAGTCAACCAAAATCCCGGACGATTTTGAAATTCCAAGGACATTTTTTTAGGTATGAAAAGTAGGACATGTCCGGGTAAAAGAGGACGTCTGGTCACCCTACCAAATCAACAATTTGATGTTTCAGTGAGTGAGTGCTTGTTTCTATGATGCGTCTTTGCTTAGCAGCTTCACTCGTTGTAAACCAACCAATCAGCACACAGCTCATCTAAATATTCATGAGGATACCATGAAAGGAAGAAAACCTGTTTTTTTCATTCTAGGGCTTTTAACCAGGCTTACATTAGGGCTCATTGAACAGCAAATATGCCATTTTCAGCCCAACGAACATTATAGACCCTATTCAGAGACCTTAAGAACAGAACCAAATACCCTATATAATCATTCTCTGACCCCTTTTAAAGTGGGACTTTGAAATTTCCATTTACTTCACTAATATCACTAATAGCACCTAAAACAATTTCCTTTCCAAGCTTATATGGTTTGGTTTAGATGTCTGAAACCTGAGCATGAGATAGTGTTCCAGTAGGACTCATTTTGGCTTCTGAAGGAACCCTTCTAAGTTCTCTACCTCAATCTTTTTGACATTTAAATTAACTTCACTAATTTTAGCATGCCAGGTGTGCCATAAGCTTGTATGCCTAAGAAAATATGTGATGGAGGTGCAGCTGAGAACCAGTAATGCATATTTTATTTGGGATGTGAATATTTAACCCTGTATGGACCAGAGCAGAACTGAGCACAGCTCACAAGGTGAATCTCACAATCTGATCAATTGTAAGATCTAAATTTACCCTCAGTAGAGACCATTAAAGCAGTTCTAAAAACATTACGTTTTGGTAGATTTTTCCTCCCCTTAGTGGAAAAAAGCTGTACTGCTTAGGCTGAAGGACTACAGCATTTCCCATGAGCACCGGGGCATTGAATTGAACTGCATTTCTTTTTCCAGTTGCTGTGTCAAAAATGAATATTGATGAGGTAATGAATCTAACTGTGGTGAAACAATCTCTTTTGATGTTGAAAATAAGAACGTTTAACTTTGATTTTGTACTGTATTACTGCACCGCTACCCCCTGCTAGAATGTTTCTTTTGGAGGGAAATTTGTGATTTATTTTTGACATAATATTGAAATATTAAGCAAGATTAGTTGTTGATTGTTGCAGAAAACAGCCGTCTTAACAATCTTGGGTTTTACTGGTTCTTTTTTTTTCTGAAGTTATATAGATGATTATTATATTTGTTATCATGATCAGTCAATTTATATTTTGTATATTTTATTATCCTTTAGAAACATGTATCAAGGAACAAGTCTTTTTACATTGTTAATGTAAAATATGAAAATTAAAATTGAAATACAAAGTAATTTCTATTTTAAGTGTCAAAAAGGAATAAGTGAAATTAAAAAAATTATTTGAGTTTTGTTTTCTGTTTCGATTAACAGAAAAATTGAATTAGTTTAAAAGAGATGCAAACAGGGGACAGTTTTCTTTCGTTTTGGTGTTCTTTTTTGTTTTTCTGAGACCAGATGCAGTCTCTTATTTTACGTGAGCACCATATTTGACAGAGTGTAGGTATCACTGAAACAAAGCAGCAACGGCATGATGTGAAAGTCTGTACTCTTATGAAGGTACAAAATCTGATATCAAAAAATAAACAAAACAAGCCTTTCATTTCTGTTTTAAGTTAATTAAAAAAAAATGTATCGAAATAAAATCAAACATAAATGGAGACAATCCCATTATTGAAAATACCTTAATGTTAACTTTGAACCCCCTTTATTATATGTAGTTTTGTGCTGTTTGACTTAGTTAAGGCACAGTGAGTTTCTTTGATAATTTGTTATATATTGAAAAAATGGAATCTATAAATATCTGATAATTGCATTAATATTATGTATGAGTTTTGCAGTTTATAGTCAGTGACACTGCGATCATTATATTTCTGCATAGCTGTAGAGTAAAAATAGAGATGTGAACAGTAGTCTAAACAGATGGCTCAATTGCTGATTACAGGGAGAATATTATTTGCTTTTAGTGTAAAATCTGCTCCAAATGTTCCATATTAAAGGAATAATCACAAACTGTAACACTGGTTCTAAGCCTTTTCCTGCACAGGAGTAGAGATTTCCTATAAAAAAATTGAGATGGATAACATCTAAAAGGGAGAACTTGGATGATATTTACAATAGGCATACTGTTCATTATAATGCTTCCCCTCCCTCCAGAAATCTTAAAGTTGGTTCATAGCTGTTGTCCGTTAAACCCAGTTACAAGGCAGCAATGGTGAACATGATGGTAACCATGACTTTTATAACAACGCAATATTGCTTTTGAAAGGAATACAAGTGCAACCCTCAGAATTTCATCTGAGTCACTAGCATCTGCTGTGGTGTGTTAAAGAGGATCAGCACCACGGAGAGTGCTTTAAGCTCTTAAACAGTAAAAAAGAAAGCCTCTACCAAACATACAAATTGCCCAGAGTTCTGTGCTCACAAGGGAACTTGAAAGTCTTTCAGTTTGATCAGTGACAAAAACATATTCCAAAACATGAATCAAAATCAATAAAATGTAAATTTCTTTATTATGATATTACTAAATGCATTTAGTATTTATAGTATTTATGCAACTACTAAATTACTAAATGATTAAATGCAAATACAGTATATCTGTGTAGGAAGAGGAAACTACATTAGGTAAAACTCCTTATGCAAACTGATTCAGGATTCATAAGGCTTAGATCTGATTTTAAATCTGTCACCCTGTGCATGCATATAACACATTCTATATTACCCACTCTGGCTTTGAGCACTGGATATACTGCTAGCCATTTTGCATCAGAAGATGCATAGTTCTGGTGTCATAACATCAGTTACATTGTTTTGGACTTGTTGTAGTGCATGTGGTTCAATCATTCAGTGAAGTATAATTGAGGTGGCCAAATAATTTTCAGAGCTTAGTGGTAGTAGTTGGATCAACTGCCATGCCTCTTCCAACTAGAAGCCATATATTTTAAAAAATTAAGCCATAACGGATAAACAGAGCAGATATATTAGCTTTTCATGGCTATATTTTTGCCTACAATCACTCCAAAAATGTCTTTTGTATCTCTGAAAGGGATTTCTGAAAATTCATTTCACTCTACTGATGACCATTACTAATCTATGAGTCAGAGTAAATCACGATAGGATGCTCAAGGGAGCTGAGGGTATACTGCCCGCTGCAGCCACCTTCGTCATCTGCATGTGATTTAAATTATCTGTAAACCTCTGCCCCTGCCTTTTTCCATGTGTCACAGTCTCTGTGCATGCTTCTTTGTCCTGGTCCCCAAATGTAATATGATGTTGTTGACAGTGTTTCTGGATGCTTGATCGATTGTTGTCTTCTGTCCTGTTTATTATGGCTTGTAGTCTAAAACTGAATTGTCCTATGGGGATAAATAAAGTTGTTGGATTTTATTAGATTTACAAAGAATTAAATAAGAAGACATGCAACAATGTTTATATTAAGCGACAGTATGTCTGCGTCGTGACACTCCTACAGACTTTGTTAGTGACTGTCCAATGAACTCTGCATCAAACCTTCTGTCCATGCTGGGCTTTGGTCAGTGCCTGACTTGCATTTGTTCCATGTTTGTCCCATTCCCATGGTGGTCCCATGCAGCTCTCCCTCTGTTTCACACGTAGCAGTTGCCAAAGAGAGAGGAGCTCATAACAACCTTGAGCTGCAGGAGAGGAAAAGTGTCTGTGGGTTTTGGTCTCCCCCTGTTGTTTGTTTTAAATATGGAACTGTAGCCAAACACAAGACAGCACAACACTGCACCGAAAGTG